GACCTGGAGCCACCCCTTCGCCATCTCCCCACAGCTCCCGGCCCTTCGGGATGAAGATCCTCCTCGTGATGCTCCTGGCGCTGGTGGCCACAGGTAGGAGACGTCCTGGGGGGTCCCGTGTCCACCCTGGGGGGTCCCATGTCCGTCCTAGAGGGTCCCATGTCCACCCTGGGGGGTCCCGTGTCCACCCTGGGGGGTCCCATGTCCGTCCTAGAGGGTCCCATGTCCACTGTGGGATCCCCGTGTCCACCTGTGGGATCCCCACGTCCACCTCAGATGCCCCACATCCACATCCTGGAGGTCCTGTGTCCATCCTGGAGGTCCTGTGTCCACTCTGGGGAGGTCCCGTGTCTATCCTGGGGGGTCCCATGTCCAACCTGGGGGGTCCCATGTCCTTCCTGGAGGTCCTATGTCCACCCTGGGGGGTCCCGTGTCCATCCTGGCGGTCCTATGTCCACCATGGGGGGTCCCATGTCCATCCTGGAGGTCTTGTGTCCACCTGTGGGATCCCCGTGTCCACCTGTGGGATCCCCACGTCCACCTCAGATGCCCCACATCCACCTGTGGGACCCTCATGTCCGTCACAGGTGTCCCCAAACCCTGTTCCATCTCCCTTTGTCCCCACAGCCTCGAGGAACGTCCTGTGGGTGATCGAGGGGACCTCCTGCGACCTGCCCTGGCAGGCTGCCCTCTTCAAAGGGGACAAGTTCATCTGCGGGGGGACATTGGTGGCCAGGAACTGGGTGCTGACGGCCGCCCACTGCTACAACCCAGGGTAGGAGGCCATGGGGGCCAGCGGTGGCTGGTGGCTTTGGTGTTGATGGGCCCTGGTGGCACCCGGGGTTCTGTTTCCAGCCAAGGAACCTGGGAGGGGTTCGTGGCATCTCAGTGGGCTTCACACCACCACCCCTGGTGGCACCTGGGGTCCTGTTTCCAGCCGAGGAACCTGGGAGAGGTTGGTGGCATCTCAGTGGGCTTCACACCACCACCCCTGGTGGCACCTGGGGTCCTGTTTCCAGCCGAGGAACCTGGGAGAGGTTGGTGGCATCTCAGTGGGCTTCACACCACCACCCCTGGTGGCACCTGGGGTCCTGTTTCCAGCTGAGGCACCTGGGAGGGGTTGGTGGCATCTCCGTAGGCTTCACTCCACCATCTTTGACACCTTTGGTTCCCTCATCAGCTTCATCAGCGTGCGGTTGGGCGGCCGGAAGCACAAGGACTCGGGTGGCATCGAGCAACGCCGGCGCTCGGCCAAGGTCTTCAGGTACCCGCGGTACAACGCCACCACCAAGGACGGTGACCTGATGCTCATCAAGCTCCTCCTGCCCGTTCACGTCAACAAGCAGGTCAAGCCCTTGCCATTGGCTTCCCAATGCCCCGTGCCCGGCAAGATCTGCCAGATCTCAGGTTGGGGATCCACCACCAGCCCCGAAGGTATGTGCAATGATGTCCCCTAGATGTTTGTCCCCTCCCCAGGGACACAGGTGACCTGGTGAGGCCACCGGGAAGCCTTGAGGCTCCTACTTGGTGCCAACAAGAAGAGGAGAGATGAGCTCCAGGGCAAAGAGACCAAGAGGTCCAAGCTGGGTCTTGGCTGGATCACTTGGTCCATCCTTCCTGGGTGACCTTGTCCCCTCCATCACCGACAGTCACCTTTCCCGAGGACCTTCATTGCGCCAAGGTCACCATC